TGTCTTTGGTGTTCTTCATTCTCCTTTACTCCAGGTGGGTTGGGACCAATTGATGCAAGGCAATAAACTTGTTTAAAGAGGTTTTTACTATGACAGTACAACAGATCACCGTGATTAAACTGAACGTAAGAAGTCTTGTTCTATTCTGCCTAATAAAATCAAAAATGAAAACAAACAGCCCACATAAGAATACATAATCATCAGGACCTTCTAACTTCCTCTTCAAGAACTATACCTGGGGGTGGGTTGGGGAAGGGGGAGAACTATACCTGGCATTTCAAGAACAGTTACAACTTTTATCTATTACTTCAAGGATCTTCTCAAAGCTACAGAAGATGACATCTCACTACCACCTCTCTTTGCCCAACCAAATGTCTATAGCAAGAACCAGGTAGAAGCCAGATAATACAGGAAAGAGGCACTGTATACATAAAAAAAAAAAAAAACTGGTCACTTGACCAGGGGTACTAAAAGCAGGAATCTCTGAGAGTGTATTTTAAATGATTTTTCTTTTCGTTACACATTTCCTTATTTTTCAAATGTTTTATAGTGCTCATGAGGTATTCTTATCAGAAAGAAACTGTAATACAGTGGGAATCCACCCTGACTGTACATTACAGTGGTCTGGAGGTGCTTTTGACCAGTTCAGTCAGAATCCCTGGGGGGTAGAGTGCAAGTATCAATTAAAACACAAAAACCAATTAAACACAAATAAACAGTTAAAAAATATTTGCATGCTATTATTAAAATAGCATGCAAAGATACAAAAAGTAGATTAGAGGTTACCAGGGACTGAGGGAAGGAAGAAATGGGGAGTTATTGCTTTATGGGTACAGAGTTTGTGTTTGGAGTGATGACAAGCTCTGGAAGTAGTGGTGAAGCTACACAACACTGTGAATATAATTAATGCCTGTGAACTGTACACTTAAAAATGGTTAAAACAGCAAATTTTATGTTATTTATATTTTACCAAAAAAAGACCATATACTAATTTTGGAGAAGGGTAAAACAGTACACAATACTGAGGAAGCCAACACAACTTGTACAAGGAAAGGTCATAGAAGCTCCATAGACACATCCAAACTCCCTGAGGGGCTGAATTGCTGGGCGGAGGGCTGTGGGGACCATGGTCTTGGGGAACATCTAGCTCAACTGGCATAACACAGTTTATATAGAAAATGTTCTACATTCTACCTTGGTGAGTAGCGTCTGGGGTCTTAAAAGCCTGTGAGCAGCCATCTAAGATACTCCACTAG